TATTGCTCTCTCTCTCTCTCTCTCTCTATTGCTCTCTCTCTCTCTCTCTCACACACACACACACTCTCTCTCTCTCACACACACACACATGTATTATTGTCATTGGCTCACAGTCTCAGTTGACTGATGGTCAGTGTGAGTCAGATCACCAGTATGACGCGTCTCCTCTCTTATTTGACTCCACATGTTCACGCAGCACATGATTGCACAAGAGAGAGGGAACTGCATGACCTATGTGAGTAACTTCTTGTTTCTTTCCTCTTTAGCATAATTGCCTCTTTGGAAAATAACAATGCATAATGATCATTGTCTGTTCGGTTAGGTTAGGGCACTGCATTAGAAGTGTCACAATTTAAGTTCGCAATTCCATATAAGTTAATATAATGCATGCAAAGTCGTTTGGCAGTAATATATTTTGTGTTAAGTATCATATTTTCCATGTTCTTTATTTTTAAACAGACATATTTTAAACCACATCTTTGTTTGTTTTAGCTTCAGTAGCTTAAGCTGTTACATCAAATCAATTAAACCTTGAAAAGATGTGAACCCCTTAGAATAATTTACATTTACATACTCTACATTAATGTTTTCCCGTGTCTAGTCTTATTCACAAACATATATAATGAAAATCTTAACAAGCATCCTGCTAACAAATGGTTTAAAGTGAATGATCAAAAATATTTGTAACTACCGTAATATTTAGTACACTGGCAGTGATCTCTGCACAATTCAGTTGATTTTTTTTTCATCATGTGAATTTAAATATCTCTTTTGTATACTTTTCCATCAGTTACCTAATAACTATTCAATACAAAAATGGCAATGCAATGTTATCATCAAATAGTTAGTTTATTATAATGTTTTTAAACCAAATCTATATTATCTATTGATAGACTGTCTGTACATTTGTAGAGTATATATATATATATATATATATATGTATGTATGTATGTATGTGTGTGTGTGTGTCATTCTTTATCATTATTTTTACGGCATCAAATGTCATTAAACCTATTAAATGGCACAAAAGAAGTATAGAAATTATATGGAGACCAAAATTCAAACAAATAAAAAATCTTACTAAAAATCTCAATAAAAAGATGCAATGGATAGTTGTGTACAAAACTGATTTCAAGTCCTATACAGGTCGCAGAGTGTGTAGATGCACCGCCTCATGAAAAGACACGTGTAACTGCAGTACCACCCTCCTCTCCTCTCCTCTCCTCTCCAGAATGCACTGGATCTCTGCCCACAGAGGTGCTGTCACACTGCAGCCATTGATGTGATTCAGCTCCACACAATGCCACTCTCACAGCAGTGAATGACTGATGCAATGCTCTGTGTGTGGGTTAGCTTTAGCCTACACTGATGGGGCCAATATACATCCTCACCAATATAGTAAAAACTCAATTCACCTACAACCAGCCAAAAAAAAAAAATTCCTGTTAGGGTTTTGGTTCAGCAGATAATATCAACTTACTTTAAAAAAAAAAATTGGTGGGAATTGTTCGCATGATCTACTGTGTAAGTCTGAATGTGTTCTGAACATATTTCTGAACACTGTTTTATGCTTTATTTCTGTCTCTTTTTCAAGATGTACCAGCACCTTAAAATGACCTCTGCGATGTCAGACTGATGGTAAGTTCTTTTCTCTCCTGCTCTGTCTGTTGTGTGTGAAATATAATCCCAATATAGTGAATGTTTTATGCTATATGTGACCCTGGACTGGTCTTAAGTCGCTGGGGTATATTTGTAGCAATAGCCAAAAAGACATTGATGCATAAATCTCAATCTCTAAAAATTTATTTGACCACCCTTATGACTGGTTTTGTGGTCCAGGGTCACAAATATTGTGTTGCTCAATTAAGAAGCATATTTTGAGGAGTTTGTCTTTTGTCTAACACATGTATAAGACAGAAAATCCCTTGCTTATTGTAAACATTTGTGGATGTTTAGATTTTAATATATGTTATAAATCATGCCCTAAAACAATAAAAACAATGCTAAGAATAGTTTGACTCAATGCTGAATCAGCAACTTTCTCACAACTCATGTAGTAACACTGTAACATTGTGATGTGAAACTGATCTTCACAGGAAAACCAAAGAAGATAGTTCATCATGGTCAGTTTTATTTACTGGTTGGTATTGCTCACTCTTCTTAATATTTGTACCATTAAAAACAAAAATCGGCTTTATAGTCCTGTTCTGTCAGATCTGAACGCATAGTAGCATGTCAGTTTGATTCACTTACTCAAAAGACTACTTACTTTGGAATGCGCTACTTCTGTGTTGTACTTATTATAGACTCAGAGGTTTCCTGTAACAGCGCTCAGACCTGCAGACCTACTGAGAATGCAGATTATTACTATTTTTAAGGGCTGTCTCCCGATTCAAACAGGGCACCGTGTTTTCAGCATTAACATGAATTATCTAAAGAGTTGAATTCATTGAAATATTCCCATAAATATGTATTTTCCTTTCCAAATATGAATCTTGACTAATAAATGAAGCATGACTGTTATGTTCTTCTCATTAACAGTGTTTTTCATTTACTGATCAATCAGATTGATACAATGCAAAGTCAACGCTGATGTGTCAGTGTCAGTGTTAATGTTAAAGTCATGTTGGTTCAACATCACTTTTTCAGCCGCCTCATTTAATGTTGAAAATCACTGTGGATCTCACTGAATCAGAGTTACATCCGAGATGTTGATTCTACATCACCGTAGTTGAATCAGCCCTGAAATCAATGGTAATGTTGTTGAATCAACGGTACATGCTGTATGTTATGTTAATGTTATGTTAATATGATATTATTGTTAAAATGACATCTCAGTTGTATTTTCAATGTTCTTTCAACAAAAGTGATCGAGAATCAACACTGCTTTGTAACATTAATTGAGTGGCATTAGTATTGATTATTGATTTCTATTTTGATCTATTGATCACTATTAAATGTTCTTGTGGACACTCATTTTAAGTGGTGTTTAGGGAACTATATAGATGACTAGAGCAAACTGAAAACATATTTCTGTCATGACAACTCTCGGAGGGATTGGCATGGTAATGTACATGACGATGTTAATGTATTTGGTCTTGGCGGAATAGATCTGCTACGCTGCTGCTGCTGCAGAGCAAGTACCGAGACTTGCTACTGCCAATACATCCACAACATGCTGCTGTGAGCATGTAAGAAATACTGCTGCTGCACATATAACATGCATGAAATAACCCCCATATAGCATACATGAATCACCTCATAGCAGATCTATACAGGTGGAGCTGGGGAAGGTGGAGGGTTTCTGAAACAAGCTGCAACTGCTACGGCAAGCACTAGTCATATATTTGAATGTTGAGCAGCGAGCTCATTGGCTACCGATACAGGAGAGAACCAATCAGCTGTGCCATGTGATAATGATGTCATTACGTCAGATTGAGTTAGACCTATCAGACTGCGCCATCTAGAGTTTCATGCCAGAACTCTGTATTTCACCAGAGACTAACCTGCCGCACTTTTTGAAAATGGAAATACGTCAAAAAATCCCAAGCAGTCTGTTAATTGTATATAACAGACTAACCACAACCTTTGATAAACATATTGCCATGACCAATTCTCTCTTACTTCCACACTAATTTCCAACTTTAGAGACTTTCTTCTGACCCACACATCCAGTGATGAATGACAGGTTCAATCTCAGTGCTTCAAATGGGCTCTATAACTCCTAATTAGAGCAGTGCATCGAAATGGTTACACTGAATTAAAAATCACCCAGAATGCAGTAGCGGGCATGAATGTGTGTGCTGAACTCTACAGTGATAGCCGCTGGCTGCTATCATGAGAAGAGGAGGCAGCCTGCAGGAGCACCAGCTGAAAGCAGAAGGGCCAGAAGCAGTTACAGGGAAGCCACACAGTATCTACACTGACACACCTGTGGCAGCAGAGACGCTGCTCATCATCTCCTCATTCCTGCAGTCCACCGACCACACACATCCCGTGAGTAACCTCTGTGTGTGTGTGTGTGTGTGTGTGTGTGAGTGTGTGTGTGTGTGTGTGTGTGCGTGTGTGAGTGTGTGAGCGTGTGTGTGTGTGCTGTTAGAAAATTAACCAAGACTGAATCAACATAGTAGCACTGCTAGCTCCTTTCCACTAGAGGGAGCTGTTAGTCAAGGTTTCTTTCACCAATAAGAGCTGTCATAGTTTTTCAAGACTGTTTTCAATTTCCATCCTCTGTCTGACCCTTACGACTAAACCGGATGCTATAATTTTAAGACTATATCTAAAAGACATCTGTTATGATTTGCCATTTTCCATGGTTTGTTTTGACATCTGCATATCAACATCGTTCACATCGTCATCAGAAAAGGCCAAGCTACTGAATATTGATTAGGTGTTGATCAAAGTCCTTTAAGTCAGGTCAGCTCACCTGATGGCCATCTTGTGAACACTTCTTCTTCTTCCTCTCCCTTTTTTTTCCATATTAAATCTTGGCAACACTCCAAACAGCTATTTTCTATCTGGGCCATAGACAGCAACTGGTATTTACAGTTTTTTTTTTTCAACTGCTTACACACATTTTCAAAACTTTGCCTCTTCTTTTCAAAACTTCACACACAAATCCAAGAATTGCACACAAAATGCAAAATGCCTCACATCTTTTGCTAAACGAAGCACTGCATTCAAAGTATCACAAACACATCTCAAAAGCAAACATTTGGAGACACCTTTGCCATAATATTATATTTTTGGATATATCATATACACACAGTTATTCAAAACCTAAAGCTCTTCTTTCATGAGCTCCTGTGTACATTTCTGTTCAAGGTTGAAATTAACAGGCAGAGAGATGTTGAAAAATTCACGGTAAACATGAGAGCAAGATTGAAACCAAACTTTTTTTTTTTACTGTAAGCATTTGTGGTTGTGAATATAGTATTACACAGTACGAAAGAAAAGAAACACATGAGCCATGTGCAGTTGTGTGTTTATAGGCCTATTCTAAAGCCATGATTGCTTGGTGTTCAGTGAAGCACATGTGAGGAGTTAGTGTGAGGCACTGATGAATTAATGTGGCATTTTGATTGGTTGTGTTTGAAAAAGGAAATCAAGATACTTCCTGTTAGTTTTGTGTGTTACATAGAGAACTGTGTGTTGTGTTTTGCAAAAAGTGTTTTATGAAATTGAAAACTGAGTCAAAGGCAGAGAATTAGTGTATGGTTTTACAGATTTGGTGTGTGCTTCTGATGTTTGAGTGTAAGCTTTCAGAAACTGTGTGACAAGGAAAGATTTTGTGTGTAAGCAGTTGAAAAAAACTGTAATAGACATATAACTGAAAGAGAGAGAGAGAGAGACACAGCTCTCTGCTCTTGGTTGTTCAGTGCATGTCAGTCAGGATGGTCCAGCGATTCAGTCTCCGCTGACAGTACTCACAGGTAACACTTTCACTTCTCACCTGTGTGTGTGTGTTTATAAGCAGAAGCGTAAACCTTTGAAAGTTTTCTTTATTGAGGAGTGCACTGGTCTAGTCTGAGACAGAGAGAGGGGGCAGTATGTAGGTGTGGACTATATAAAACAGAAAGAGTGTGTTATGTCACTTTCTATATTGTTAACATGTTTATTTTGTTTGAAACCTATTTTCTATTATTTTCCTCAAATATTAAGGCTAAGAAGACTTGGTTATTTGTTGTTTCATTCAAATGATTGTCAGTTTAGCAAAAATTGTGGTCAAATAGAAACATACAGGGCAATAAACATACAGTTTCAAAATGATATCTTGACACATCTGAGCACAGTTTGAGACTAGAGGAGACACATGTGAGATTACTGAGGCCTTTTCCTCAGGAGGAACATCTGAAAAGCAGGAGACAGAAGCATGCACTCTATGCAATCTTATTACCAGAGAAACAATCGAGACATGAAGGAGATTTTTCTTTTATGGGCTACAAGTCTTTGAAATGTGGACGTCTGTTTGAGAATTTTTAGTACTTGATAAAGTAATAACTAAGTGTTAAGGCTGAGTTAAATATTTACTTGCTTTAACTCATTGACTATGTCAACGATCCCATGTTATTTGACTCAAAGTAGCCTTTACACCTACAGGCTCCGTTTCTGAGTTTCTCTACTGTCATCCTTGAAACCTCAAGCGTCTAAATTCTATTGTATATAAATTGCATATCATCACTTTGTTCATCATGATCTTGAAACACCAGCTGGGGTGGTGTTTCGGGTCTTAGATCATCAGTCACCCGGGCGATCCAGCCGGACCCAAGTGGCACGCTACACCATCGCTCGCTCTTCTTAATCCACAGCCACCTTGACAACCTCCTTTCCTGCAACCCTCTGATACTAAGGAGGCTGAATGACTGATGTACGGATTGCCCTGCAAATCCCCTGCAGCCTCATGTCTCCTACAATCCTCTACCGGTTTGAGATATTCACCCCTTATATGCTCATGGGCCTCGTCCATCTGGTCCTCCCAGGAGACGGAAAGTTCCAACATAACCACTTGCTTAGAGCAGTCAGTGTCCTTGCAGTGTGTTCCAGAAACTTCACCTGCTTCCCGAGATCGACCTTCAGCTGCCAGTCATCTTTACCGGGGGTCTTTCTCCCTCCCTGACAAAGGCGATGTCATGCCTTGTTGGAGGCTGGTGTTTGCTGTACTGGATTCCAGTGCGTATGGTGCCAGCTACTGCCTTCAGCCCCTGTACCTCCCCTCTCCCAAGGTTTTCAGCCAGCAGCTCAAAATGTGCTCCAGGGAACCTCTTCTCAGACACAGTGGACATGCTGGGTGACATCCCAAGTGGTCTTACGGGCTACTGTACTGTCCCAATTAATCCAAACTCCCTGCTTCACCTGGCACTTCTTTCAGATCTAACAGTGATGCCTGCAGAAGTCTCTGGTGTCAGTTGAGCGGTATGCGTGGCCCTGGTGCCCTGCTCTCCCTCCTCTTCCTCCTGTGCCACTCAGCACGTCAAAGGCTTTCGTCTTTGGTTGTTTCGAAGCTCTTTGACGGCTGGTCTGTCCTCCTCTCTCACCTTCTTGTATTGGTAATTTTGAGACTTAAGCTCTTCGTCTGCCTGGGGTGCTTGTTCTCCCTCCCTCTCTGGCACTCCTGGGGTATCTTTCAGAAGGGCTATCTGTAGCTTTACATGGGTGCTCCCTCTTGGAAGCTGCACTTTAGGGTGCTAGTCCTCACTGCCCCAAATGCCCACTCTCTGCACTGTCCACTGTTTCAAGTCATGTGAAAACACTACTAAAGAAAAAGCTGGCGTTGTTTGATCCATACTGTCACGCTTAAGATACATACATTTGTATGTTTGATGTTTGGGGTAAGCTGTGCCACTCTCTCATATCATCCTTGAAAAACAGTCATAGAAATATGACTTATCCAAAAACATGGTCTAGTGATACAGCGTGTGCCAAAGTACTTGTGTTCCCTGAATTTGATGTTTATAAAAAAATAAAAATAAAACTATGTGTGTAATATTGCAGTGATATTCCCAGTGGTTCCCAGCCTTCCCAGTGTTCTTGGAGGCCATCAGCAATGCACATTTTGTATGTCTCTCGAATCTAACACACCTGCTTCATCTCATCAGCTCCAAGACCTGTTTCATGTTTATTCTGACTCCTTTAGTTCCACTAATGCTCACAACTCCATATTTTTATAACAGCAAAAACTCTATTCATGTAATGTTGTGTCATGTTTAACAAAATAAAAAAAGGGTAACACTTTATTTCGATAGTCCACTTTAGACATTCTATTAACAGTAAGTAACTTTGCAACTACATGTCAGCTAGCAGTTAGTAGAGTATTAGTAGACTGTCTGCTTAATATCTTCTAACACTTTCTTTGTCAACTTATTCTACTAACCCTAAACCTACCCTAACAGTCTACCTACCCTAACAGTCTACCTACCCTAACAGTTAGTAGACATGTAGTTGCAAATTAATGAGAATTAGTTGACATGTAGTTGACATGTAGTTACAAAGTTATTTATAGTTAATAGAATGTCTAAAGTGGACTATCGAAATAAAGTGTAACCAAAAAAATATATAGATATAGATATTTGGTAGTTTAATAGTATAGGCTTATGTTAAACTTTATTCTTGTACGTACAGGCATTGTATTAGATAGTACGTAAAGTTCTGAATGGTAAGTGTTTCTCTTGCTACATGAAAAAATGTCTGAAATGTCTGTTTATTTGACAAATGAACAGTGTCTGACTTCTTCGCCTATCAGTTAAATGAAGTCGAACATACCTAATGCCAGCTGTCCCAAGTGTATGTATATTTAAAAACAGGCACAGGCAGCTGAATGTGGTTGGCTTCTTTTAAATATATGTTCACTTTGACATACAGCTCACTCAATTCTCCCCTGTGATTATAGTCACAGTGCTGAAACTGTTCCTGATTCACATGCACCAGAGGACAGTGACTGAAGTGTTGGTACGTTTGGGAACAGTGATTGTTGTCATGTATGTTGAATAGTGATGTCCGGTTCGTGAACGAATCGTTCGATTTAACCGGTTCTTCTTAGTGAACCGGTTGAACCAGTTCACCAAATCGGACTGAATCGTTTGAACTGGAAGGAAATGATGGCATTTGGAATTGGATTATGGCTTTTTAGAAGACAACATTTCTACCACAACCTAGCTGCTTGGCAGGTGTTTTCTGATATCACCAGCATGTAGGAATGGTAATATCTGGTTATTCTGAGCTCTGTGAAGGATGGGCTTTATGACACAGCATAGGTCTTTCCTATTGTTTTCTTGCATTGACTTTACTTTGCAAAGGATTAAAGCTTCTAAAGGTGATGTTATATCTGAATGTGCCCTGCATGTCGTTTTCACCACGCTTCATAAGATGCAACTATAACATTGATCATTGAAGGTGTGAGAAAAAGTCAGTTACAAAACCACAGACCATTTCCTGCTTCCTGTGTGAGATGCCACTAGCAGCTATTGTTGGAGCTGCTTTCATCTGTGATTGGAAGGTCT